CACTTAATTAAATCTATACTGATATGGTGGGAATAATATCCCGTTATATGTCACAAGCGTGGCAGTCAGAGCCTTGGGGATGATATCCATCCCGGAAGCCTGTCATTGTATCAACCCCAGGAATGGTCAATAAAGTCCATGATATTGTTATGGCTTACAGGCGGGTTACACAGATAAGGGAAAATATTAAACTTTAGCGCAGTAAAGGCTGTGTTGTTCCACCAGAACAATGTCTCTGTTCACCAGTCTATCATTGACTTGGCAGCCAGTAACCATTGTGGCTTTGAATTGAATGAGCATATGTCTCATTCACATAATATCGCTCCATCAGACTTCCATCTATTTCAAAATTGGAGGGAGTCATTTCTGGTAACCACTTTCAGACAGATGATGACGTCATACATGCAGTGGATGACTTTATGAACGGTTAAGAAAAGGACTGCTTTAAAAGTGGCATTGAGGCCCTTAAACATCGCTGGCAAAAGTGTATAGGTACTGAAGGGGATGATTTTTAAAAATAATGCAATATATCCGCCGAAAGTCAAACCTTTAAATATGAGATAATAATACTGGTAATTAAACATAAGATAGACACCATTGTTAAAACTATTCACTATTCTTAACATGCAAACTTATCAAAAGTCTGTAACATCCGGTGCCAGTGTTGCCTCTCTCCATGCCCTTGCTGATCCATCTGGTATGACGTAGGTCATACACATGTCGCCCGAGGCAGGAAAGAGTACAATAAAAAAAAATCGTGTAATACTATGTGGAATCGGGAGAGAAGATATGTGCGTAGTGGAGTAGAATCAAACTATATCTCTATCTTGATAATACTGTTGGGTTAACTAGCAAGTAATTTCGATTTCTTGGTTAGACAACTCGAGACTTCCAAATAGTAAATAGTACAGGTCCCGAGGGATGAAATTATTTAGCTTACAATACAATTTTAAGCGTTGATCATTGTGATCATAACATGCAAGAAAGAAATGAAAAACATCTTCACCAGGATGTCCACACAGACAGTGTATATAATTAATCAAATTAGCATGAAATAAATCTAGATTTAGAATGCTAGATTTTACGGGGTTTTGGTTTTGGTATAATAACTTTGTGGAGTTGTAGTCATAAGGAAAACAAACGAACCGAATTAGTGATAGTGTATATGGTTCCTGTTTAATTGTTACACAAAGTGTTTGTTTTATCATACACGGTATTTCGTCTTAATTGATCATCGTCTTGAGCGATGGCTATTCCATTTCGACGGATACCGTATAATATACTTTTACGAAAGGTTTTCAACGATATCTGGCAGGTTTGTGTGTAAAAACGTCGGCGGATATCAAAGGAATCTCAATAATGTCAGAACAGAACAAGAACTACGTCACATTCAGTAAAAACGTGTGGTTTAGGGGAAAAGGATTATGTAAGAACGGTGGCCGTTCCGTCCTCTCCCGAGGCTTTTTTGGTAATTATAGTGATTCAATAGACTACGTTTCGGCTACGACATTTTTACTTAGACTTAGTTTCATCGGAATGACAGCTTATATGTTCGTATTTGGCATTAGCACAACACTCTTTTGGTAGGCAGGATTCGCATCCACACAGTACAATATGAAGCCATCGTGAGAGCAGCCCATGTTAGGCTATCGGCACACCTCATGGTGGAGAAACTTAACTGACATACTGGTACGGTCAGTTACAGACTGTAAGCTTATCACGATCTATTGTAATATATCATATCAACATAGCATAACTAGAATATACCACTAAGAAAGAGGTATCAGAAGGGTTTTATAAATCTCAGATAAAATTTAGAAATGAAAGTGAAACGTCCTGACGTTCTATCTTGTGTTAATCGATCGCTGATTAGTACGCTATATTATTCGTCGAGACTTAGTACGATATCCAAATATGGATAGAACACATTAATATTCGCGCATGTGTACTAGGCATTGACGGGGGCTGCCATTTTGAAAAAAAGTTGCACATTCATTTGAGGCTAGGACTTCCGTTGTTATGAAACTCTGTTGCAACAAGACAAACAAATGCTTATATCACTTGCATATTCCTTTAAAAGGACTAATGTTTGGTAATAAAAGCATGTCTGAAACTTCAGGTAAACGGAGGTCAAATGTGACAGTTAAAAATTCGCGGGACTGAGCGGATTTTTTATCGGCACGAAAGCAGATCATTTCATTGGCGTTTGTAGAAAGACTTGGGAATACTTATCGATATGGTTATCGTAAACACACTATTTGTGAATGAAAGCAACACTCACTAGGGAGCGCTTCTGTTTTGCGTCTTTCCTTTTGCGGCAATCATATTAAGTCTACTCTGAATCCTAACAAACAAACATCAATGTTCGTTTATAAAAGATAGAGATACGTTCCTTCGGGTAACTTAATTACAGCCTAAATATCTTAGTGGAGAACGTATTACAACGGAATGAAACGCGGGCGGTTTGAGTTTTAATTGAAGATGGCATTTTAATTTTTGTTTTTCTATAGACTAGAACATAGAGTTACACTTCAACAGAAAGACCGATATTCTGTGGCATTCTGTAATTAAAACAGGGAACACAATTGCATTAAAATACGTCGTAAGTTTGTTAAGAATTAAATATATTTGGTATTTACTTTTGGTCGATTTCAGTGTGATTCAATGAAATAAAGGTGTCATTTTCACTTATTATTATTAAGGAGCTCAGTTTAAATTAAAACTTAATATGGTCACTTGTCTTACATTTAACAGCGCGTAACAGGACTTCGACAATCAGTCTCAGGAGCAAAGGGACCACGTGATCACATTTAATTGTAATATCCTCATAGAAAATATACAAGGAACCGTAAATCCCGTTTAGAACAGTGCTTTATATCTCGCTTGAGATAGGTTTTGTGTAGTTTGTCAGTTATGGATTCTTGTGAAGAAAAGTGCCCTCGGATCATGCTGTTCCTTTTCTAGTTTCTATTAAATAAAGGAGATGTTTCCGACGTAATGTCGACCAACGAAGCGAGTCGTTTTACAGGCGATCAATGAAGTTTGTCGTTTGAATGGCAAGACACGAAATATTGCCGAGTAATGACATTCGCCGTCTGGATGAATGTAATACTCTTCCTAGATTGAATTGTGGCTTTGTCACTTCCTGTGAGAAGTTCACTTCCGTAATGGTGCAATGCTGGAACACTTTAGTAGGCATTACATGTAATTACAGTGCACCCCACAGGTGATAATTGTACTTTCTAGTATTCCTCATGATTATTTTTATACAGTTTTCCATCTAGCTTAGTTTGTACCGATCAGATGGTGATGGTGTAGACCACTGTGTACAAACCATGGCATTGGTAGGATATGATATAATCCGGGCACTTTACCACTGTGTACAAACCATGGTATTGGTAGGATATGATATATTCCAGGCTCTTTGCCACTGTGTATATACCATGGTATTGGTAGGATATGATATATTCCTTGCTCTTTGCCAATGTGTACATACCATGGTATTGGTAGGATATGATATATTCCTTGCTCTTTGCCACTGTGTATATACCATTATAATGGTAGGATATGATATATTCCGGGCACTTTACCACTGTGTACAAACCATGGCATTGGTAGGATATGATATAATCCGGGCACTTTGCCACTGTGTATATACCATGGTATTGGTAGGATATGATATATTCCTTGCTCTTTACCACTGTGTATATACCATTATAATGGTAGGATATGATATATTCCTGGTTCTTTGCCAATGTGTACATACCATGGTATTGGTAGGATATGTATATTCCGGGCTCTTTACCACTGTGTACATACCATGGTATTGGTAGGATATGATATATTCCTTGCTCTTTACCACTGTGTATATACCATTATAATGGTAGGATATGATATATTCCTGGTTCTTTGCCAATGTGTACATACCATGGTATTGGTAGGATATGTATATTCCGGGCTCTTTACCACTGTGTACATACCATGGTATTGGTAGGATATGATATATTCCTTGCTCTTTACCACTGTGTATATACCATTATAATGGTAGGATATGATATATTCCAGGCTCTTTGCCACTGTGTACATACCATGGCATTGGTAGGATATGATATAATCCGGGCACTTTGCCACTGTGTATATACCATGGTATTGGTAGGATATGATATAATCCTTGCTCTTTACCACTGTGTATATACCATTATAATGGTAGGATATGATATATTCCTGGTTCTTTGCCAATGTGTACATACCATGGTATTGGTAGGATATGTATATTCCGGGCTCTTTACCACTGTGTACATACCATGGTATTGGTAGGATATGATATATTCCTTGCTCTTTACCACTGTGTATATACCATTATAATGGTAGGATATGATATATTCCAGGCTCTTTGCCACTGTGTACATACCATGGTATTGGTAGGATATGATATATTCCTTGCTCTTTGCCACTGTGTACATACCATGGTATTGGTAGGATATGATATATTCCTTGCTCTTTGCCAATGTGTACATACCATGGTATTGGTAGGATATGATATATTCCTTGCTCTTTGCCAATGTGTACATACCATGGTATTGGTAGGATATGATGTAATCCGGGCACTTTACCACTGTGTACAAACCATGGTATTGGTAGAATATGATATATTCCTTGCTCCTTACCACTATGACATATCGTGGTATTGGTAGGATATGATATATTCCTGGTTCTTTGCCACTGAGTACATACCATGGTATTGGTAGGATATGTATATTCCGGGCTCTTTGCTACTGTGTACATACCATGGTATTGGTAGGATATGATATATTCCTGGTTCTTTGCCACTGTGTACATACCATGGTATTGGTAGGATATGTATATTCCGGGCTCTTTACCACTGATCACACATGATAAATAGACATTAAAAAAATGTAATAGATTGTGCTTATCTGTTTCAGGTAGAAAGTGACGTTTTGTATATCATTACATTTAGCACTGATTGTTGTATATTACAGGTAGTGTGTGATGGAGTGGTCACGTGGTATGAATCACTCATTATGCTGGTGCTTTACGTATTGTACATCGTGATAATGCGGTGAGTGTAACGTTTTGTCTGTTTATCGACTGTCTGGTAAGTATCGGTGCAGAGTAGTTAATGTAAGGAAAATTTGTCTGTGCTGACAGATTAGTGAATGTAAGGACAATTTGCCTGTACTGACAGATTAGTGAATATAAGGACAATTTGGCTGTACTGACAGATTAGTGAATGTAAAGAGAATTTGTCTGTACTGACAGATTAGTGAATGTATGGACAATTTGTCTGTACTGACAGATTAGTGAATGTAAGGACAATTTGTCTGTACTGACAGATTAGTGAATGTATGGACAATTTGCCTGTACTGACAGATTAGTGAATGTAAGGACAATTTGCCTGTACTGACAGATTAGTGAATATAAGGACAATTTGGCTGTACTGACAGATTAGTGAATGTAAAGAGAATTTGTCTGTACTGACAGATTAGTGAATGTATGGACAATTTGTCTCTGCTGACAGATTAGTGAATGTATGGACAATTTGTCTGTACTGACAGATTAGTGAGTGTATGGACAATTTGTCTGTACTGACAGATTAGTGAATGTAAGGACAATTTGTCTGTACTGACAGATTAGTGAATGTATGGACAATTTGTCTGTACTGACAGATTAGTGAATGTATGGACAATTTGTATGTACTGACAGATTAGTGAATGTAAGGACAATTTGTCTGTACTGACAGATTAGTGAATGTATGGACAATTTTTCTGTACTGACAGATTAGTGAATGTATGGACAATTTGTCTGTACTGACAGATTAGTGAATGTAAGGACAATTTGTCTGTACTGACAGATTAGTGAGTGTATGGACAATTTTTTCTGTACTGACAGATTAGTGAATGTAAGGACAATTTGTCTGTACTGACAGATTAGTGAGTGTATGGACAATTTGTCTGTACTGACAGATTAGTGAATGTAAGGACAATTTGTCTGTACTGACAGATTAGTGAGTGTATGGACAATTTTTTCTGTACTGACAGATTAGTGAATGTATGGACAATTTGTCTGTACTGACAGATTAGTGAATGTAAGGACAATTTGTCTGTACTGACAGATTAGTGAGTGTATGGACAATTTGTCTGTACTGACAGATTAGTGAATGTAAGGACAATTTGTCTGTACTGACAGATTAGTGAATGTATGGACAATTTGTCTGTACTGACAGATTAGTGAATGTAAGGACAATTTGTCTGTACTGACAGATTAGTGAATGTAAGGACAATTTGTCTGTACTGACAGATTAGTGAATGTATGGACAATTTGTCTGTACTGACAGATTAGTGAATGTAAGGACAATTTGTCTGTACTGACAGATTAGTGAGTGTATGGACAATTTGTCTGTACTGACAGATTAGTGAATGTAAGGACAATTTGTCTGTACTGACAGATTAGTGAGTGTATGGACAATTTTTTCTGTACTGACAGATTAGTGAATGTATGGACAATTTGTCTGTGCTGACAGATTAGTGAATGTAAGGACAATTTGTCTGTACTGACAGATTAGTGAGTGTTGTCTGCACTGACAGATTAATGAATGTATGGACAATTTGTTTGTACTGACAGATTAGTGAATGTATGGACAAGTTTTTCTGTACTGACAGATTAGTGAATGTAAGGACAATTTGTCTGTACTGACAGATTAGTGAGTGTATGGACAATTTGTCTGTACTGACAGATTAGTGAATGTATGGACAATTTGTCTGTACTGACAGATTAGTGAATGTAAACACAGTTTATCTGTGCTGACATCCAGCCCATTTTTAGATTTTATTACTATAAATACTATAAAAAATGCCATGTAACCTTTGACCCCAGTAACAGGCCACAAAGACCCGACAGTAACTTGACAAATATCCCAGAACAGGTGTTTAATATTCTACATCTTTGTCTTTTTAGTTTTAACATCCACATTCAGGCCTGGGTCACAAAGAAGCTGGATCGAATTGTACAATCCAACATTCTTCCAATGAACGGCACTGCCAAGACCTTTCAGGGGGATTATGGTAAGGCTAAAGTGGACCTCGTGTAAGGAAGATATTTTTGGGGAAATGCCACAGAAACCTGCGATAACCTGTGAATGTTTTGGCGATGTTCTTGCCAACAGTGTCAAAGCATTTCAACAACAAAATTCTTGTCGCCTTAACACTTCATGTATTTATTTTTATCCTGTCGCCCTAACAACAATGTTCCTTCAAGGATTTCTGTTAAGTTATGTGTGACTGTAAAACTGGGAGTCGGTAAGATATTCTAGTATATAGCGGGTTCATTCAGAGGCCTGTGACGTTTAGTAAGATAGTCCAGTATATAGCGGGTTCATTCAGAGGCCTGTGACGTTTGGTAAGATATTCCAGTATATAGCGGGTTCATTCAGAGATCTGTGACGTTTGGTAAGATATTCCAGTATATAGCGGGTTCATTCAGAGGCCTGTGACGTTTGGTAAGATATTCCAGTATATAGCGGGTTCATTCAGAGGCCTGTGACGTTTGGTAAGATATTCCAGTATATAGTGGGTTAATTCAGAGATCTGAGACGTTTGGTAAGATAGCCCGGTATGACCAGGCCCAACTTGTATAAAACATCTCAACTTGAGATTTCCTCAAGTCGAGATTTTCCTCATCTGATATCTCCTCAAAAACGGCTTGTATAAAATTTTCTCAAGGAACAGGAGGTAGTCATCTGCTAGGATGTCCTGAAATTCCTTGAGGAATTTTCATACAAGATATTTTCAAGGAGATATTAGCTGAGGAAAATCTGGGCTTGAGGAAATCTCAAGTTGAGATGTTTTATACAAGTGGGGCCAGGTTTATTAAGAGAACTATGACAGTCGGTAAGATATTCCAGTATATGGCGGGTTAATTCAGAGGCCTGAGACGTTTAGTAAGATAGTCCAGTATATGGCGGGTTAATTCAGAGGCCTGAGACGTTTAGTAAGATAGTCCAGTATGATCAGGTTCATTAAGAGAACTGCGGCAGTCGGTAAGATATTCCATTATGGTCTGGTTCATTAAGAGACCCGTGACGACGGTGGGTAGCATATTCCAGAAGATGATATGTTTATGGTAATACTGGTAAATTGTATTATATGTCACGGCTGTCATCATATATCCAACGAGTAATACAATTTAATAATATTCGCATCAGCTGTTTCATTTCGCTTCCTCTTCTCGGTAGGAAACTTCATTCGCTCGACACGGGGACACTTACTTACGTTAATCACATCTTTGTGATAATTTAGAGGTATCTAGTGTCACGAAGATCTTGTTTACGGAAATATCCAATTTACATTACTGTAGTCATCACTAGGACGATACACATATAGGTATTACTTTATCATCTTAGTTTGAGTCATCAAAGAATATAGTCCCTTGTTACTTTTAATTGCATGTACTAACAAAACTCAAGATATGCGTTGCTTGATGTAAATGACAATAAACTTGGAGCTTCGTAATCCAAAAAATATATAAGACAAAAATATATGTATTATGTGATAAATTTTGAAAGAAGATCTTCGGTGTTTAAAAACCTTAGTGTATGTATGTATTGACCAGGTTCACTCTCCGCTGTCGTGTAACTATTGCCAACTCCCGCTGTCGTGTAACTATTGCCAACTCCCGCTGTCGTGTAACTATTGCCAACTCCCGCTGTCGTGTAACTATTGACAACTCCCGCTGTCGTGTAACTATTGACAATTCCTTATGTCATGTAACTATTGACAACTCCCGCTGTCGTGTAACTATTGACAATTCCTTATGTCGTGTAACTATTGACAACTCCCGCTGTCGTGTAACTATTGACAACTCCCGCTGTCGAGTAACTATTGCCAATTCCTTATGTCGTGTAACTATTGACAACTCCCGCTGTCGTGTAACTATTGACAACTCCCGCTGTCGTGTAACTATTGACAAATCCTTATGTCGTGTAACTATTGACAACTCCCGCTGTCGTGTAACTATTGCCGTGTCTTGAAATTATTCATCATGCCCCTAGTTCGATACCCATTGACCACCTCCATGTCTTGAAGTTATGACCATGCCCCGTTTTTGGTAATTATTGACCACGCCCCTTGTCTTGTTACTTTTTCCAACTTCAGCTGTTGTGTAACTATTGCTCCACTCCCGTCTTGTAATTATCGATCATGCTCCCTTTTCGGTACCCATTCACCACGCCCTTCTCTGGTAACTATTGACCACGTCCGTCTTGTAATCATTTATCGCGCTCCCTGTCTGGTAACTGATGACCACACCGCTGTCTGGAAACTTCTGAACGCCCCGTCAGGTTACTAATGACAACACCCTCCTCCACGTCTGTTGTCTACTGACTACGCCCCTTGTCTGTCCACAGAGGTCTTCACAGACGACGATGATGATGTGTTCATGAAAACCTCAGTAGAAAATCAGGTGTCACGAAGAGAAACGGAGATGCCACCCGATGAATACGCGAAAAGTACGCAAATCAAGTAAGATTTTGATCAGCAAACTACCAGTTATAACTTTAAAATAGGGTTGAACATTACGTATCGTTAGACATGTAATGTTACACCGTAATCACATAACAATAAAAGGAGGAAACTAGTGTGTTGCCAAGAACTTACTAAACACTATAATAAAGTATAATCTTACTGTCTGTTGTATAATTAACACTTACAAGACAACAGCTACCTTACGGATGTATGTTTGTACCTGATAAATAGAACACATAGCCTCGTCTTTATACACTGACGAGATCACATAGGCACAACAACAACATCCAGTAGGTATTACACACATAGTGGACGTCCTCTGTTGTGTTTATGTGCAACTCTAGCCGAAGAAATCCAAAACAGGACTGACATCGACATTTTAAACTTTTGGTTGCTTTGCCAATGACGATATTTTAGTCACATGGCACATTTTTCAGTATTCAATTTAGAAACATTAAATATTGACAATTTTCTTTTCTAATTCTCAACATTTCGCCAACATTTGTGCTGATTTTGAAATGTGCTCCGATTTTGAAATGTGTACTGATGTTGAAATAATGTGTGCCTGTGTTGGAATGTGTTGTGCTGTTGAAAAGTGAACCGTCGTTGAAATGTGAACCGTTGATGAAATGTGTGTGCCAATGTTGAAATGTGAACCGTTGTTGAAATGTGAACCGCTGTTGAAATGTGTGCCAATGTTGAAATGTGAACCGTTGTTGAAATGTGAACCGTTGATGAAATGTGTGCCAATGTTGAAATGTGAACCGTTGTTGAAATGTGTATCGATACTGAAATGTGTTCAGATATTGAAATGTGTAACGATGTTAAATTGTGTGCCTGTGTTGGATGTGTGCCTATGTTGGAATGTGTGCCTATGTTGGAATGTGTACTGACGTTGAAATGTGTATCGATACTGAAATGTGTTCAGATATTGAAATGTGTAACGATGTTAAATTGTGTGCCTGTGTTGGATGTGTACCTATGTCGGAATGTGTGCCTATGTTGGAATGTGTACTGACGTTGAAATGTGTATCGATATTGAAATATGTTTAGATTTTGGAATGTGTGCCTATGTTGAATTGTGTTACAATGTTGAAATTTCTATTTGATGTTTGTGTCTAGTGGATGATGATTTTCTTGAGCCTCGTTTTGGTACAGGTCAGGATTCTGCTGTTTGATGTATCTTTCTGATAGATGGTGATTTTATATTGATATTTCGTTGTCTTACAGGCCAGGATTCATTGATTTTATTTGGCGTTTGATGATGATGAAGAGATTTAAACCCAAGACGAGGTTCATGGCTGCGGCATACTTAATTCTATCTTATGTGAGCAGGTGTATTTAACGTTATTGGTTTGTATTGTTCATATTAACTGTCTGTTTAGTGATACCTTTTCAAGGTTTCATCACAAAATAATAATCCCCCTGCTAAAATCGTTTAAACTACTATTATAAGTCAATGCTTCTACTTAAATCTCCAATAATATAACACTGGGTGTTAAGAAAATTGACTATCCAATTAAAAAAGACGCAACAACGTCATTTTTTTTACCTTTATCATTTTATGTCTATAGTAACCTTAACAACGTCATTTGTGTATTATCAGTTCATGAACTGGCAACAACATAAAAAAAATTGTAAGTAATATAAGCAAACTTAGGCTGTCTTCCATTTTGATAAGATGAACATTAAAACGGTAAAAGTGTAACCTTTGAACTGATTTCAGCAAGCAATCATAGGTTATCATAGAATTTGCCCTTATCCTGCTGGCATACATATGTCCATGAATGCCATCTGAAATCACCATCTCGATGATTAGATATTAGCGGATGAGGACATGAAATTTCCACACAAGATTACATCACTAGATATTCAACACAATTGAGAGTGATGGAATTAAATATATATTAAAAGAAGTTCTTGTAATTGAATAACAGGTAACTATCTTCGATATAATAATATCATAAAAAAAATCTAGGGCAGATATGGTAGGAAAGGTATGTAGATTACAATTCATTAATAAGTTACTATAGAACACTTACTGGTAAGGTAGATCAATACACGTTTACCTGTGTACCCAAGCCCTGTGTGTTACCGGACTAGTTTACACCTGTAACATCCCGTCTCACAGACTTCACAAGATACGCGGAATCAGTCGTGATACCTATACAAGCCGTATATCAGTGTATTAACGATATTTCTGTACCGGTTCTATATCACCAGAGACGGCGGATGCTGCAAGATGAGGCGTATATAAGGAGACAACAGTTTCGTAAAATGGCTCATAAATCCAGTGTGATCTCCTATACTCGCACGATAAGGGGTTGGTGAGTACATCCATCCGTTTATAGATAATCAATGCTTGCCAATAAAATATCAAGAAATGTTTTATATTAAGTAACCCGAACACGAAATAATAGCACGCGGAAAATAAAAAACGGAATATATCTTTTTGTAAAGCTGATGTACCGGTTAATGATAGTCCAATATGGTGTATTTATTTTTGAAATTGTGTGATAGCTTCCCATACTTAATGTAATGTAGTTGTTCTGATCGACCAAGCTAAATCTACTGGAATATTGTGTAACAAGCTGTTGTTGTTTTATCTTGAAAAGAAAAAGTTGAAAACATTTTTAGCTCACCTGGTGCGAATGGCCTAGTGAGCTTATACCGGGGCGTGGCGTCCCTCGTCCGTTCATTGTCGTCGTCTGGCGTCAACTTTTTACTTTAAACCACTTCTTAATCAATTGACCAAATGTTACCAAGGTCACAGGAGTCAATTTTGTTAAAACATTTAAACGACTTCTTTTCGTGTACTAAAAAGGCCTAGATGCATGCTATTTGACTAGTATGTTCCTAGGATGAAGCCAAAAGTTGGGGAAAATATTACCTTGACCTATGTTCAAGGTCACATGAGTCAAATGTTTTAAACATTTAAACGTTTCTTTCAATGAACTGAAAGGCCCAGAGGCATGATATTAAAGGTCAAGGTGGTCAAGGTTTAAACATTTAAACGACTTCTTCTCATAAACAAATAGGCCTAGAGGCATGATGTTTAGCTGATATGTTCCCTAGAATGAAGCCAGACTTTGTTTGCAAAACAAATGATCCTGACTTATGATCAAGGTCACAAATGTCAAATTTGTTGAAATATTTAAACGACTTCTTCTCATGAACAAAAAGGCCTAGAGGCATGATATCTAGCTGATATGTTCCTTGGGATGACGTTAAACATTGTTTACAAAAGCAAATGACCTTGACCTATGATCAAGGTCACAACAGTAAAATTTATTGAAACATTTAAACGACTTCTGCTCGAGAAGGAAAAGGCCTGGAGGCATGATATTTGGCTGGTATATTCCTAGGATGAAGCCAGACAAATTTTGCAAAATCAAATTATCTTGACCTATGTTCATGGTCACAAGGGTCAAATTTGTTGAAACATTTAAACAATTTATTCTCATGAATTAAAAGGTGTAGAGACGATGTTTTTGCTAGTATGTTCCTAGTTTGCGAAAGGAAATTATCTTGACCTAGATTTAAGGTCATGGTAACAAATTTTATATTTGTCATTGCAGCTATGGTAGCCATGTAACCATTAAAATATATTTGAATAATGAAAAGTTTGTCATTTTTAACCATTTTAACACCTCGTTTTTCACCAAGCCACCACTGAGCGCATTCTTGAAAAATCATTTGATTTCTTCTTAAGATCTTCTTAAGATGAAGTATCCACATATTATAATTATATATTAAGTTTTGTTAATAAAGTATGAAAGTCATAATTATCTTAAATGTTCTGACTTTAATCAAATTAATCATTTTTATTTGATTTATTGAATTTTATCAATATGGATGTTTGTAAGCAATGCGTGAAAATATAGTGCTGCTAAGTTTGTTTACTACATAACTTCTAGCCTTCCTTATTCTGGGATTGTCATTAAGAACCATTTACTTATGTTTGTTAATTTACATAATGAAATGTATAACCAATTTTTTAAGTTCGTCAAACGAAATTGAATATATCTAAAATGAGCACTGCAGGCCCATTGGGCCTCTTGTATTAATTGCTACCAGACATGAAAGAAAAGACTTGTGCTGGATTCTGATCAAACATCACTAAAATATCACTATTTTGCTCTCTACTTCACTTGTTCATCATGTTATCATTCTACTTAGGTTTAACGTGACACTGGAGGGAGACGACTATGATTGGTGGAGGAAAGTACCTAATATAGGTGAATATATAATAGGACATCACTTTAACATACATAGTACAGGTAAATATATATTAGGATATCACATTATCATTCCTGGCACAGGTAAATATATAATAGGACATCACATTATCATACCTAGTACAGGTAAATTTATAATATAACATTACGTTATCATATATACAATAGGTAAATATATAATAGGACATCACGTTATCATACCAGGTACTGGTAAAATATATAATAGAACATCACGTTATCATACCTAGTACAGGTATATTTATAATATAACATTACGTTATCATATATACAATAGGTAAATATATAACAGAACATCACGTTATCATGCCTACTTTCGGTAAATATATAATTGAACACCACATTAACATATATATTACAGGTAAATATGCAATAGAACATCACGTTAACATAGATGATACAGGTAAATAATAAGACACAACGGTGAATGCGGTATAATAGGACATGACGCTAAGACGTATATTTAAGGTCAATGCGCTCTGACCTGCTTGCCGCGTTAATATTTTTCTTAGTTGTAGCACTGAATATACACGTGCTTGTGTCACGGTCAACGAATGCCAGAATTCCTTTTCCCTTTCAGAGGAAGGTGTTTGGACATACGCAAAGTGGGCCATGCAGTACCCACTTCGTTGTCTGTTGTATTATACTGTACCGGACTGTCGTAAAGACAGGTGAGTAGTACCCACTTCGTTGTCTGTTGTATTATACTGTACTGGACTGTCGTAAAGATAGGTGAGTTGTACCCACTTCGTTGTCTGTTGTAACATACTGTACCGGACTGTCGTAAAGACAGGTGAGTTGTACCCACTTCGTTGTCTGTTGTATTATACCGTACTGGACTGTCGTAAAGACAGGTGAGTAGTACCCACTTCGTTGTCTGTTGTATTATACTGTACTGGACTGTCGTAAAGATAGGTGAGTTGTACCCACTTCGTTGTCTGTTGTATTATACTGTACCGGACTGTCGTAAAGACAGGTGAGTAGTACCCACTTCGTTGTCTGTTGTATTATACTGTACCGGACTGTCGTAAAGACAGGTGAGTAGTACCCACTTCGTTGTCTGTTGTATTATACTGTACCGGACTGTCGTAAAGACATCTGTTGTTATTTACACCGTTAAATGTCTGATGTCTGTTGTGATTTCACTCAATCAAATGTTTGATACCTATTGTTATTTACACCGTTAAATGTCTGATGTCTGTTGTGATTTCACTCAATCAGATGTTTGATATCTATTGTTATTTACACTGTTAAATGTCTGATGTCTGTTGTGATTTCACTCAATCAGATGTTTGATATCTATTGTTATTTACACTGTTAAATGTCTGATGTCTGTTGTGATTTCACTCAATCAAATGTTTGATACCTATTGTTATTTACACCGTTAAATATCTGATGTCTGTTGTGATTTCACTCAATCAGATGTTTGATATCTGTTGTTATCTACACCGTTAAATATCTGATGTCTGTTGTAGATGGGACCGCTGGTTTATGGCTACATTTGTCTTATCTATAGTATGGATCGCCCTCTTCTCCTACATAATGGTGTGGATGGTATGTGGATCTACAGTGTATAGGAATAATAGAGATATGCATCAGCAGTGATAGTTCCTAAATGAATATCAAGTGTTTATGAAATGTCAGTTACGTTACCAAAATGTTTACCACTTGTCAATGTGTTGTTTAAAACATAGAATTTACAAGAAGAATTATACGTCACAAGGGAGGTCACTCTGATTTAAGAAATGTAAAACATTGGTTCACCATTTATGTGATGTAATTACCTACCGATAGAAAACATGTTATATATGAACATTGTTGTAAATATTATACCTGACCTTTCTAACTTTTTGAATGGTTTAAAAACTGATAACATGGTATTTATCCAACCATATTTCACTAGATTGCACCCTTCCATTTAGACACAGTCAAGGCAGCTTACAAAATCAGACACAGGAGGCGATGCTATTTGGGAAATAATGATAAACACAATACCAAGAAAACGACAAGCGGTTCAACGACAATTAAATATAAATCATTCAAAAGCAGACATGGTGCCGTATTATTATCTTGTTGATAATCAACGGTGTTGTTTATATCATCTTTAACGAGTACTTATCTGATTACAGGTAACTATTATTGGGTATACCTTGAGTATCCCCGACAGTGTAATGGGAATCACATTCTTGGCGGCTGGTACAAGTATCCCTGATGCCATGGCTAGCGTATTCGTCGCCAAACAAGGTTTGTTATTCCAAGCTGACAAAGAAATCATTTTTTGCGATTCATTACGTGCTGCTAAATACAACAAATAAAATACCTTGATTCGAACTGAAATTCTATGAACTAGGGCAATCCATCAACAACGAAAATGTTTACCTGAACTCTTGATAAGTACAAAGATAATAAGACCTTGTGTTTTGGAAGGGTCAGCACCTTCTGATTCATTGACGAAATCTACCATTTAAACCTTTATCAATCAAAGTAATTTCACTTTCCCATATGTAAACAATGTAGGTTGTTAACAACGGAACCAACAGATACACTAATTAGCATCTAACATGTCAATTTTCACATCGAACAAGGAAATACAATATTTCAAAGTGAGATAATTAAAAAGACAGGCAACCTTCCCTATAATCTTCATCAAACTTATCTGTCAGTTGTTGCCATCACGCAAGAAAATCGGGAAGTAAGGACCATGCTCTCTAATATCGATTTAACATATAACATCATATGTTTTGAAAGCAGAGTGCTATCTAGAAATGGAAAATTTACGATGGGGAAATCGAAATCATCAAACTTTGCATACAGCTTAGTGGTTCACAATATCGGTTTTTTATCTATACTTTATTGATGAGAGATGGGGTATATGAGTAAGTACGTACTCTTTTGGCTTTTGAAAATTCCTATACTATCAGTTGCTAACGACGTGTTGTATTTAAGCAATTTTTGTATTCTCCCTAATCACATTGATATATCTAAAGAAGAGTGAACATGCTTCAATATAAAATGTCTTTCCTACTATTTGAAGTTATCTTAATGGTAAAGGAACTTCCTTGATTCTTATTCCTTATCAGATGAGGTTAAATCTTTTGCTGAATGTCACCTTACGAGCTATTAAAAGTTCTTCAATCTTATTACATGTTTTATTTCAAGTTATTTTGATGAAATATACATGTCTGTTAATCTGATTGAGTGATATGTGATACTTGTAATACTTGTCAGAAAAAAGACGCTATTGTTGTCATATTGGATAATGGCTCCATGGCTGGTTGTGTAGGATATTGTTGATGGTAACATCTTGTCCTCAGGCCTTGGAGATATGGCAGTCTCTAACCTGCTAGGGAGTAATGTATTCGATATCCTGCTTGGTCTTTCCTTGCCATGGTTTCTAAAGACGGGAGTAGCGTATGCTGGATCTACGGTAGGTCAAACGTGATTTATGTTTACTAAGTGTCACTGGTATCTTATGGTAAATTAATAATTTACATTGTATCAACAGAGATATCCAATTTGTTCAACAGCAATAGTATTATATTTGTTTTACTACATATTTGCCCAGGAAGTATCAGAAAATAGTTTTAAATAAAAAAAAATAATTGTAGTTAATATAACGTTTCCGGTGGTATATTTTTGAATTTTGTCCAATCAGAACGATGCCTTCTATTAATTGCATTGATGCTTTAAATTCTTCCGATTGATGACGCTATAGACCTTGTGTATGTATATATATTCAAATCAATGCATATCACAATGACACCTGGGTTAATAGATTTGAATATTTGGATTTCATTCAGAGGAAAAATGATATGTGACATAGTCAGATGTGTAATACACACTTTTTTAATATAAGGTCAAGTGCAAGAATTTATATGAAATAAGCATGGTTCACGATTTTATACATAAACATCACTGACAAGTCCTGCTGTCGACTTCATTATATGGCCCTACTACACCTAATTAAATCATACGATATTTTTTTTTATAAAATAACATTTAATAATGGGGCAAGTGCACGTTCAATCTAGATTTTGTCATCGATCACTGTGTCTTTTGCACAAATCTATATAGGGTCTACATTACAAGGAATACATATAGTACCAAACATGTTGTACAAAGTTACATTACGATATATTGTGACAAAATGTCTTTCCATTATTTCAGGTTCATATAAATAGTAATGGGATGCTTTACTCCATATTACTTTTATTTCTTACGGTTATAGCAACAGTAAGTATATATTACTTTTATTTCTTACGGTTATAGCAACAGTAAGCATATAAATTTTTTATTTCTTACGGTTATAGCAACAGCAAGTATATATTATTTTTTATTTCTTACGGTTATAGCAACAGCAAGTATATTTTATTTTTTATTTCTTACGGTTATAGCAACAGCAAGTATATATTACTTTTATTTCTTACGGTTATAGCAACAGCAAGTAGATTTTATTTTTTATTTCTTACGGTTATAACAACAATGTGTGATTACTCCTGTTCACAGTGAACACCGTTGAATCGGTGTTTGATAACTCCTGTTCACGGTGAACACCGTTGAATCGGTGTTTGATAACTCCTGTTCACGGTGAACACCGTTGAATCGGTGTTTGATAACTCCTGTTCACGGTGAACACCGTTGAATCGGTGTTTGATAACACTTGTTCACAGTGAACATTTGTGGTCAGTCAGTGTGTGATAATCCTGTCCACTATAAACAAAACATGTTTGATAACTCCTGTTCACGGTGAACACCATATATAGAAACATTGTTTGATAACACTTGTTCACAGTGAAAAATAATTTATATGTGTAATTTTGAGCTATAAACAAAACCAATGCATTTTCCTCAGAAACAAGCGGCCAAGCGAATACTGCACTAATAGATTTTTGCTTATGTTTTGTAGATTGGAGTGCTCAAGTACACAGGCTGGAGGTTGAACCGCTTCGTAGGAATGATATGCCTTTTCGTATATGCTATATATTTATTATTCTCTGTTATGATAGAGTGTAATGTGTTCGGGTTCGTCAATCCTCCAATGTGCGTATGATGCAATGGTAGGGATTGACGCAGTTTCCATAGTAACCGGAAGTAAACAGTCTTGATTGGGATCATATCAACAGATGTTGCAGTTACGTTATAAAATAAGAATGCGTGGATGATCGGAATGTCTATTTTGGCAAATCGTCTGTGGGGAAGGATTTTTGACAGGTTTCTTGTGAAACGGATGCTTTCTCTGACACTAGATACATTTATAAACTAAAGCAAATTAGCCTACTGGTTCTGATGCCAATGCTCAACTCTTCTTTATTCATTCCTGTAAAATTGTGTCGGGTTTTCATGTGTGTCACTTAACAGTGTTACTCATTTTCATGGTATATTTATTTATTCATCCAATTATCGATTATATTTCATGTTTTAACTCAGATTAATAAAAGGATTAATATTCAATAACTCCTATCTACACAAACATTTATCGTAAAGGTAACAATTTTTAGCATGTTGGCTGTATCTATTCGTCTCCTCAGAAATAGGAGAATTTTGTGTTCATCATCTGTTCACCTTTCCTCCGTTGGATCTTTACAATTATCAGTGCACATGTTATGTAGTTACATGTTTGTCTCTATAAAACGTCTATAATTTGTGACTTTACATACGTATTGATCTCCCTTAGACCAGATTGAATTCAAGTGTATCTCTCCGTCATTAATATATTATAATTTGAACTTCATGTTAAGCTACGTAATAATTTGTCTGTAAGGTTGAACAGTCCTTATAAAACATAATTATCTCATAATTCTGCAATCGAACTTTTACTTCTTCTCTTTATTTTAATGATGATAAAATATGTTTACATGGATCTGCCTTGACCGATATGTCAAACACTCAAAATTCATCAGGTAAACATTCCATAGATTGTAAGAATGTATTACTGATAGAAGTAACTATCAATAACTGGTGCATGCATTTTGTTGTATACGTACCATGTGTTTAATACATAGATCAGGTGAACAGGTTACTAAAGTATGCAATATGGTAAATATATACCAGATATAACAAGTAAATATCATATGCTATGTTGTATGGTAAATATAAACCAGATATAACAAATGTATATCATATGTTATGCAGTATGGAAGATTTATACGAGCTATAACGTGACAGGTTAATATCATGTGTAATGTGATATGCGTTACTTGCAATGTGTTATTACCATACGCAATATACCAAATTTCTTGTCAAATAAAAATCATTATAAAAACCAAGTATTAAACAAACACCAACCTGTATGTCCTTCCAAGAAAGCAGTGTTAATTTGTTGTAGTGAATGTATGTTTGTTTTAGGTATATGATATTAAATAGTTGTATTAAACACTAGTTTATGTTTAATGTAAACAAGTAATTAATCGATTTATTTTTGTTTCTATAAAGACTAATTGTGGATTATCATATGTATTACATATGTAAGTAAATCAATTAACATCAGTCTGCTGTTATATAGAACACTGTTCCATTAACACAAAATAATTAAAGGCTTTGACAATAGGCCATTGATAATTAAAACTTGTAAATGAGTTGTAAATGAAATTTATATATTGACCATCGTTTAATCAACGTTAACACAATAATGTCTTTGTAGGCCATTGGTTATTTAAAAACAGATTATTTAACAATAACTTATTTAAGTCTGTATCATTTTTAGTGTTTGAAAACAAAACTGTTTAGGTTTGTGATAACAACATGAGTTTATTTAGTTAATTAAATCATAATTTTCTGTTGCCGGTTTAGACTCGTTTAATATTGCTGGAGAGTTATCATAATAGACTAACGTTGAATAAAGAATTGATCATTCTCTTTGTGTTTTGGTAGTAGTTTACCAAAAGACAAGACTAAAAATACAATTAGAATGTGTAAACAATTAGAATGTGTTTACCATGCAGGAATGTTATATAGCATTGGCTTAATACGACTGACATCATTATCTGATTTTTGTTTATACATATATGTGTGTGTTAATATCAAATATTAATAAGAAGGAGGCTTATAACAATTTTAGTGTATATATTCAGAGCTAAGCATGAAATATATAGTAGCAATGGTCACACACTGGTAGAGCTGTCACAAATGTATAGCACGCCGCCAGCTCTGTCCAGTCTGGACAAACACTTGTGATTTTTCACTGTTATGGAGAGATTGGTGAACTTACAATGTTCTGTATTCGGCTCAAACATACAATGTCCTCCTAAGTTCTATGTCCGGCTACATGGGCATGTATTGCGGTGATAATTACTCGCAGTCTCATATATCTCCTTTTCCAATCCTGTAGACATTAGTTTTGTTGATACTCAATGATAACATTCGTCGAGGATCATGAGCTTTATTTCGAAAGTTACTTAAAATACCAAACAGTTACGTATCCATTCTAGCGGAGATTGCTTAATTCTTCAATCTTAATCCTGGGGAAAAGTTTTAGGTAAATGTAAGAACATATCATCAAAACTGATTTAAAAATATCTTTATATTGTCTTCACAATCCACAACAGATTCTGGATTTTGGTAAAGGTAGAAACGCACCAATCATAATCACCATCAATTTTATCAGTAATCAGAAAGAAACAGTTGTTGGATGTTAACGATGTCCTTTCGGGGCTTTTTTTTGAGTACACTGTTGTACTGTAGAAACCTTGTCACTATGTTATAAATACACTACATGTATGTAGATAGGGTTAGGTCATTTGTCAGTATTCTCTTCTCTTTCCTGTTCTTTCTCACTGTTACAGTCCACAAGTATTTTATAGATACCAGTTGCTGGATATCTTAAGTAGGTAGATATGATTTTGCTGGTTGTTATACAAAGATTCCAAATGAAAGTAGAAAAGTACATTAAATGATATAACATCAACACAAGATCGTAATGCGTTGTTATTTATGTTTTGTTTGCGAACGTCTGATGCAATAGTAAAAAGTAATATTCAGGCATCAAATCATTACGAATACTTCTGTATTTGTTGATAAAGTTATCCCAGTTTGGTTCCTCCATGTCTGAAAAAGAACTGCAATCTCAAACATGTCAACTAGACCTTTTATCAAAAGTCAGTCTGAACCCGGTCTCTTCAACTCTCTTTTTCTCGTACTTTATATTTGGGCAAATATGGGGAACGCGATAGAATAATCACTTCCAGAAATTGTATGTCTCGTCCAAAATATGACATTGTTTCCACACTTGGTACTCCTGTTATCAGGCTTTGTTTTCACAGTACTTTCCCTTGATTCAAGAGCGTATCGGGACATCTAAGGTACAGGTTCATATCTCCGTAAACCTTGCAGTTTGTACAAGTAAATTTCTCTAAAGTCTCAAACTGCCGATAATTTCAATGGCGAACTATTTGAAGAATTTCATAGTCTGAGAACACCTTTTCTATCGTTTCAGTGCTCAATTTAATTTTTTTAAGAACACTGTCCTTTGTCCATGATTCGTTAAATCTGGAATTCATTGAAAATGTCAGTTTGTGCACGGTGGTGCTACGGATGTACCTCCCAGCTGTATATGGCTGTAGGGATCACCGTTTACTGGGACGGATGTGCATGCTTCAAGATAAATGATAATGTCACGGAGAAAACGTGTCAAAACTGAGTCATTCGTTCTGATAAAGCTTGTATTCTGATTTGGGAGAAATACTCTGTCATGGTATTTTTCTTTCTTAAAAAGACCTTAAAATTTCAGTTGAGTTAATTGGAATACATGAATATAATTATAATTTATGAACTAGCCTGGTAACCCGTATCTCCCTCGATACAGCCATCCTGTGAACATGTAAGATACATATAGGACTTAAAGATGCTAAAAAGTATTATCGCGAGTCTTTGTACTGGCAGGAAACCCATTATCATTATAGAATATAATGTTTTAAATATATATTTGAATTAATTAATCATTTAAAGAAAATACTGTCGTTTTGATCTGTACGGAGTCCTACCCATTACAGCGAGTTCTGTCGCAGATTAATATTTATAAACAAAAAAATCCGTGTAAGGAGAATATTTCAATGTTTAAAGAAAATTTGCTCGTGTTGGTATTTCATATTTTAGTCGATTATCGTTATTTTCTCTGCAGCGTATCTATCAGAAGTGGCAGGTTATTCTCAGAGGCAAAATGACTGCTACTGAAGGGTCTCGGATTAACATACAAAAAAAAAATGAAAAAGATATTTCTCTTTTCTCGATTCAGAATCGAATAACTTCTTTCTACTGTCTCAACAGATGGTGCTCTGTAACCACAACCTTAATAAGCAAAGCCAGAAAAGTCTTACACATTGCTTTTTACTACCATATCGTTGCGGTCACATATTTTTCAGCGACTCTATAGAAAATTTTACTCACAAGGGATCAAAAATTGACCTTGCATTACATGTTTTCTACAGCAAAATAAAATATATAAATAGCAATATATACTTATGTGAAAGTACATTGATCATAATACCGTTGTTAACTTTTTCACATATGAATTTGCATTGGTCGGGTTTTCGTTCTACTTAACCACACATATGTAACAAAACACCCACTATTACCACTGCCTTTATCTGATAATTAGGAAGTAAAGCCTCAAGGTTTGGACAACGTGACGTATACGATACCTGTAACCTTAGTTACACAGGGAAATATCAGGCTACAGGATTTCAGACTTTGCTGTAAGTATTGTCTTCGGGTTGTTAACGTACGTGTGCATCTGTATCCTGTATAGATGTTCCAATATCACAACCAGTTACCAAATCATGTGTGATACTTCGATGACTAAACTGTCTCCTTTATCAGACAACTGACCAATGTCAATAGTATTTGAACAGAGGTATACAGTGTACGAGAAGCGATAGAGACTTCTCTTTTATGGGGTACATAATGTGGTATTTTTATAGGATACATAATGTGGTATATTGATAAAAAAAATTCAACCTGTTATCGTAATTTCATCTCGACACATATTCCATCTTGGTGCACACAAGACTACCGCCGAAAAACCCCTGTGATTTAATTACCATCTCGTGCACTGTA